TTCTGATTTAGCCCAAACCAGGACATCAGCATAACAAGATGAATGTTTGCAATTTAAGTAGAATCAAACATTTTATGTTCTCCTCCTCTCCACAGCATAATTTAAAATGAGAGCATCCTTGTCCCTTTCTAACAAAGAGCAAGAAAAGAGTTAGTACTTGAAGGTGGTTTGTCCTCATGTGTTATTGAAAATCTTCTAAAATTATTTCAGATTGAAACTTCTGTAGAAATGCAATTAGAAGATGAGGGCTTAAATTTAAATTTTATACTTACAAAACACATCTCTGCAACTTAATTCTCTTCCAGCAAACCCTTCAATATTTCCATAGTTTATAATTTGCAAATTAAACAGTTTGTCCCATTTTAAGTTTAGAAAAAGCCTGCAGTCTAAACAGTATTTTATTCTAGTTCATGTAAGCAAAAATTAGAGTAACATGTTTTAATGGTTTTCCTTGAACAATGCATAAGGGAAACAAACAGATGCAAAAGTTGGTGGGATTTCAGACTGGTCAAATTCAATAGTTGCTATGTTAATTTCTCTACTCAGTGGTAGTTTTCTTTCTCATCTCTTTGGACGTGACCTTATTTGCTTTCTATCACCTAGGCTGCTCAGCATCCTGAATAGTCTATCCTTGCTAACAGAGCTGCCGTGGTGATTTGGGAGGGGTTTAGTGGTGAGGTAAAATAATCCATGAGGCAGATGAGATGTAGGAAGCCAATAAAGGTGACTGACTTCATCACTTGGAGATATTTGGGGAAGTCTGATATTTTTATCACTCCTACCCCTTATAACCCTACTTTCCAACTCCTGACTTCCTTATGTAATAAGAGAGGGACCTAAAAAACTGAACAGATACAGATATACACACTAAAAGGAGGTTCAGCTTCATAGAAATACAGTTTGGCAGGCTCAGAAAGTGTTCCTGATAGTACAGGTAACGTATGAAAGAACATTTAGGCTGTGGTCAGTACTATATTGGGAACTTCATAAGGGATTCAGTGACTTTAGCAATGATCTAGTTTTTGCGTATTAACTAAAGAGATTTCATCAAGCAACTTTACAAAATCCACTTAAAATATTAATACCAAGCTCCTCAACTGTATGGGCTAAGGGGCAATTGTAAAAGAATGAATTATTTTATTACAGTATGAGCTTTGATTTCATAGTCTGGAAAAAAAGGGATTCCCTGGAATTTTCCTGATCTGGGGCATACCACCTCTCTAGCAAGTCAAGTTTGGTTATGATCAGGACTTGCAGTGGTAGTCATTAATGAGCAATTCTAGATGCTGCTTTTCGGCTGTTTACATTCAACTACTCTGTTTTTCCTTCTCAGCCCACACAAGGTAACTTGCAGAGGGTTGACTCTTTAGGAAGACAGCGTATTGATGCAAATGGACATTGCTTGTTTAAACATTAAAAGGTCATTATTCCACTAAAGTTTTTGGAAATACATGGATTAAAGGCACTTGAAGAACACTTTTGAAAACCTGTAAATTACTCAGATTTGTCTAATTCTGTAAGCCTGGAATTTATAGCCATTGTGTTCGTCAACTTTACAGTGTTGTTTTTCATCTTATGTTATAGATTAACCTATTACATGTGAACTCATAACTCTTCTTAAAATCTTGCTGGCAGCACAAGAGTTTAAAACTAGTTTAGAAAATTAAATAAGTTTGTATGGTGGACTTGTGATGGTGGTTTTATATTAACGGTCATTTTCTTCCCAACTAAACACAAGGACTGAGTAAATTTACTAAGCACTTACTCTTCTAAATGTATCACGTTATCATAAGAAACAAAATTTAAAACTTTCTCTATATTATGGGTCAGCATGAAAATACAACAACAAAGACAATCTTTAAACAAAAGACCCAAATTAGATTATTAGGTTAAGGATTTTGAATAGGTCTAGTTTCTCTTAAGTAACTTTTCACATTAAAAAAATAATAAATTATGCACAGCTGATTCTGTCTTGCAAACAGTGTTTCTGACTTTGCAAATACAAAGCTGACAGTCGTCTTTTCTTTTTGACAGATGGGGATGGACAAAGTGAACATTTATTACCAGTCTGCGAAGATACAGCATGTCAAAAAAGTGCCATCTACTTAACTAAGCTAGGATTGGATCAGGTATTGTGAGTTTGGAATTGCAAAGTCAAAGGAAAATACTGTGCTTTATGAAAGAATATGAAATAGGAAAATGATTTTTCAGAAAAGAAAAATGAAACCTCCTCACCTGTAATTATTGCATATAAGAGACTCTTATTTATTTACTTATTTATTATCTATCTAAAAAAATATGGGTTTGGCGAAGAGGTTGTATAATTAGAATTCTATATAATGGATAATTCTACTCAAGAAAATTATGGATGTTCTGATGAGTCACTTTCTTGATTGCAAGACACTGTATTCTAAGCACCATAACTACCCTAGCATGAGATGAAAAACAAGGTTTGTGTTAAGAGTTGGAAACAGATCTAACTAATTCAAATAAGCTTCTTCAGTTTTAGTTATTTATTGTAAAAAAAAAATATATATATATTTATTTATACACACACATATGTATATCAAGTTGAACGAGCCCACACCTCTTACCCCCTATTTCTACTATGTCTTTGATTGTTACTAATTCAGTACATTTCCATGGTATAGGAACACTTCTTTAGGCCATGTATCTTCAGGATTGGCTTTCTATTAAGTTATTTCAGCTTCGTTTGTTCACGACACTACTTGTTTTGAGAGACATGGTCATAATTCATGTAATGGATTACTATATATTCATTTATTTTAAAATGTGTGCTAATCTGTTTTAAGTGTTTACAGTGCCCTGCTTTATAATAAAGGTACAGTAAATTACCTAACGTTTGATGCCTTAATAAATGTTTTTACTTAACTAATATTCAGCTATGTGAACCTAAAGGCCAAGGTGACCCATAATGTACTTGCTTATAGCTGGCAGCAAAACCCACTGTAGCGTACTTACAGAAATTTATAATGTATGTCATACATGTTTCTAACCGTGTTATGAATTACTGATTATTCCTTTACTGACAAATTCTATATTTGGTAATGTATCATTCAGCCTTCGAATGTTGGCATCTCTGTTCTTAGAAATGCATGTGTTCCTGTGCACACTGTGTTTGGTTGGTTGTGAGTGGTTGGTTTCTTTTACATTAATTCCCTGTGAACACAGAGACAATGGATTACAGAGTTGCTGAATACACAGTATTTACAGGTCACAGCCTTTGTATAAAGCACGTGAGTGCTCAATTCATGATACTGGCATTGCTTTCTGTTCAAAGGGGAGAACACAAACTTTTGATAAGCATGTTATGCTAGTTATATTGCTTTAACGGGCTCCTTACATTTCACTGAGTAGCTGGGGTGCTCTTATGTCAAAAGACAACTGCTCTTTAGCTCTAAATTTAGCTCCTTGCTCTTGATAATATAAGAAGTAAAAGACATTTGCGTGTTTTCTGCTCAAGTAAATTTGAGACAAATATTCTCAATGAAAGTAATTTCACTGTAGAAAATCAACCACACACAAATAGCATCTACCATTGAGATACAAAACTGTTACTTGAGGGTCGCGGATGGCTGGGTGGTGTGCTACAGAAAAGTTATATTATCTGTCGGTCATGGTAAGTTTCTAGAAGGAGGTCATGCAGTAGTGGCAGAGGAAGGTGTGGATCACTTTGCATAGTATTGGAATTTTCCGAAGTAGAGTCTTTTATTGCAACCTGCTCTGAAGTAACATTGCAGGTGGACAGTTTTTCTCTTCCTTCATTATTTCATTTTTTTATAGTCGACTGTTTAATTACAAATACATCAGGTTTTTAACATACCATTTTTTATACTCATTAATATATTTAATTTTTCTACTTAATTTAGCAATTTCACTGTGTAGTTTCAATTTTAAAATAATTTCCAAGATAATGACATTTGAGTTAAAAATTAGTGGCCATACATTTTTATTTTAAAAACTGAGGAATCCAACACATTCTCATCCTGATATAAGAAAGTATTAAAAAGTATTAAGAGTTACCTAGAAACTTTAAAGCAATTTTCCCTGCGTATTTTTAGAATGACTTTTAAATTAAAAATGACAGTATCAAATGGCATGCAACAATGACTTGTTCTGGCCTAACCTTTTTAAAGAGTTGCATCTAGAACACTCTTTTCTTGCACTCTTAGACTCATCTAGAAGTGATGGAGCTTTTTCTTCTAAAGCATTTTATCTTTTCCATTCTGAAACAGTAGAAAATACCAGTTTCTTCATTCCTGTGTCTGCAGTTTTTCCCATGTGTTGCATGTTTCCTTCAGGTAGACTATCTATTCAAACATGTTACTTCCTATATTTATTCGGAAGTGAAATCTTTTAATTTCACTCAATTTGGTCATTGTGAGATCAGATGACCCAGCTCTGACTAAATCAGTTAATCTTCATGAGACATGATAAATGTAAACTTTGTGTCAACAGACTGGGATCAATTCCTTTTGTTTATTTAATCGCTTTACAATTTGAGGGAAATAATAATGAGCTCTTGTTGTCCAGAATATGTTTGAACAAGGGGATGGTATCCCTTGTGGAACAGGTAGGTAATTATAGGGAATCTATGGGAAACTGAGAGATTGCTAGTCTATTATTGAAAAAGCAGGAGATGCTATATATCCATTATTTCTATTCAGGTTTTGCTGTAGGGTTTTGATGGTTGTTTTTTAGTTTAGAGTATAGCAAAGAATTCTGGTTTTCAGATTTTTTTTGTTTTTTTAAAGAAAGTTACTGATCTCAGATCTGAAAGATCACAAATTAGATGACTGTCTTAACAAAAAGTATTTTGCCTACTGTAACTGGACCTGGTTCTGTCCTTGCTGCTTGTGACATTTGATGAAACCAAATGAAAAACAGTTAACACAGGTCCATGATAGGGTATGATGCATTGGGATGACATGCATGACATCAGAGATACACATCTGTAGAATCTGTCGTTCTAAAAATTATGCTGTGGAGGGGCATGAAGTGGCATGTCAGGCTTTGGAGTTTTCTGGTAAGATCTTGTTTGATGTCTGTCAGTCTGTAGTATATTTCTCATGATGTCTGGCACAGCTGGATGGCTACTGGAAAGTCAAGCGGATGTACGAGAATTATTTCAAGGATTGTCTTTCACCATAGGTTTTAATTTGTTTAATGATTTAATCTTTATAAGTATTAGAAATATCTCAGATAAATTTTCTTCTTTTGGATGATGGAGCAAGAAAGTAAAGGCCAACAAAATAAGGAGTGACTTAAGGAGATACAGACCTACTAAAATTTTAAAAGAATGTGAAAGTTTCCATAGCAACGGAAGAATTGCTGTCAGATCTGAAGCAGAATCCCATATGCTGTTTCAGATTGTGGTAGGTGTTGGGACACCTCAGACTTTTTTCTATTCACCTGCAATAGCTACAGATTAGTCTGCTAGCTGAGTTAGATCTCTCCTCTAGATTCTGAAAATAAAACGGAGTTCTCCCTGAAAAATGTTTTAAAGTCCCTGGTACTGTTTATTGTAGAAACTCTAGATAGTATGATATTCTTAGAGATGGCTGATCTTTCTTTTAATTTTGCCAAGTATTCATTATGAGTTTTCGTTTGTTTCCTGAGGCAAACAGTATTATTTCAGTCCCTTCATGTGAGAGTTTCTTTGTGGGCTTGATGAGTCTTATAACCTTTCTCTGTACAATGGAGAGGTTATAGCTTTATTCTTCTTGTAAATCTTGCAGCTCTGAAGTAGAACACAGCAGTGCATCCTACAGCAAACCATAGGTCTTTGTGGTGTCATTCTCTAAGCAAGGAGGTATCTGACAGCATTATCAGCTGCAGTTGGTCAGTGTCAGAAGTTTTTCCTCGTTCCTGTGTAACAGTTTAAAGGCTGGGTGGTGTGGAACCTGCTGTCATTTTCATAAATCTTGGGTTCTACAAGATCTTCTCATCATTTCTAAGTTGCTCATCTTTCTTAAAGCAGCTATGGGGCGAGCACCACATTCCACCATCGAAAAGATGACTTTTATTGCTTTGGTTACTTTTTTCTATGTTGCTAAATCAGTGTTGGGGATTGTAATCTTCTGGGCTTTGAACACCATACATTAATGGTGTAATGTATAGGTAATTTACCTAGTTTAATTTTATGCAATAGTGGCTGCTCAACTGTATATGGAATTCAGGTCACCTTTGTACACACTGAAAGCCTAATGCATCCTGAAATCATGGGATTTTGTTTTCCCCCAATTCTTTCAGGCCACTCTTGATACTCATCTTTCTGTAGGATGGGATGGTGTTTGCCACAGAAAGGAGGAGAAACCCTGGCATTTCCAGAAAAGGTATTGGCCAAGAATGGGCTACCAATTTCCAAATGCTTTCTGACTCACAACTGGCTCTCTGTCTGTATTAGGTGGCCTGAAAGTGGGCAGATGGCTGGATGGGGATTTTGTGCTTCATGGGTTTCTAGCCATAGTTTAAAAATTGAGATTCGACAGTTTTGGATCAAAGACCTGCTAACGCTTTAGAGCAAGAGAAGTGCCTTTCCTAATGTATAGAAGAATGTGGACTCTGAAAAAAAGGAGCCCTTTTTGAGTTAAGAGGGGTGAGTGCAACTAGTTTTAAATTTTTCTCAAGTTCCTGATACCTTTTTCAAAATGAAAAAGACACTGTTTTCACAGGGCAGTAAAACATTCTCACTTCTACTTGTTGAAAAACAAATATTTGAAGAGTTTGAAAACAAATCTTCAAGCACTTAAAGATACTTTTTCTTACTTTAGCCTACAAAATCATTAATTGCAGGAGTAAAAATATCTATATAAATATTTTAAGTAATGATATTAGGGAGGTGATCATTGCCCCGTACTCAGTCAGCATTGGTGAGGCCACACCTCCAGTACTGTGTTCAGTTCTGGGCACCTCAATACAAGACAGACATTGAGGTGCTGCAGAGAGTGCAGAGAAGGGTAACAAAACTGGTGAAAGGCCTAGAGAATAAGTTTTATGAGGAGTGGCTGAGGGAAGTGGGGCTATTTAGTGTTAAGAAAAGGAGGCAGAGGGGAGACCTTGTTGCTCTCTGCAGTTACCCAAGAGGACATTGTAGAGGGGTAGGTGCTGGTCTCTTCTCACAGGTGACTAATGACAGAACAAGAGGCAATGGACTCAAGGGTAGGTATAGGCTTGACATCAGGAAAAATTTTTCACTGAAGGGGTTGTCAGACATCGGAATAGGCTGCCCAGGGAGGTGGCTGAGTCACCATCTCTTAACGTGTTTAAAGGTCACTTGGGGTGTACTTGGTAGAGTAGGGTTGATGTTCGGACTCTATGATCTCAAAGGTCTTTTCCAACCTGAATGATTCCATGATTCTAGGAATTTAAAGAAAGGGAAGAAGTAAATCTTTGGTTTCTCTGACTGAATTTTATGTGTTCATTTAAATTTTTTTAGATACACTCAATCCATTTTTCCATCTGTTTTTTTCATCTGAGCTAGCTAACAGAAATCATAAGATCAGAAAACAGCAAAAAATAGCTTTGTATGTCCTCATCGTACCCACCTATTTCTATCTTAGAGTGAAAGGGAAAAAAATAGGTTTAGTCTTTTTCCTGTTAAAATAGTAACAGCAAACATGAACATTAAATTAATTGTCTGGATTATGAAATAAAAATGAAATAGGAGATTTATATTATTGACAAACATATTTTCATTTTTTGCCTTCTGTACTGAAATATATGTCCTGAGGCACATGAACAATTAATCTTGCATTATGTTACACAATGCTGCTGTTTATAATCAAAATATACAGAATTAGTTTCACCAAAAGTGTAGATTACTCTGAATTTAAACTGTCAGAGTAAGTTACTATGGTGCTAGAATGTGCTGTAGTTACACATTGAACTAGACTGACATTTTTTAAATGTTCTACAACTGCTGTTATAAAAAGTCCCACAAGTGGTTCAGTGGGATGGATGAATCTTACTCTGTAGCGTGCACAGTGAAGGTGCTCGATAGCAATAGGTGACATTTCTGGTTTGCTCACCTATTGTTTTTTATCTCGACCTTATGATTGTATAATTGCTTTCTATGAATCACTCGGAGTAAAAACAGAATACAAATTTGGATTTGTGCCTAAAAATTCTTTTTTTTTTTTTTTTCTTTAAAGTAGTGTTACAATACATGGGAACATTTAGAAAGTATATGATGGATATAATTGGATTTTATTGAAATGACTGTGTGAATGATACCATGTAAAGCAAAAACTATATTATATTTCATGGTTCTGATTTCAATCAGTGTTTTTCAAAATTACAGTATTTTGCAATAATATTGTTTCATCTGTCTTCTGCATGACAAATAAGTGCTAAGAAATCTAACCCTTAGAAAAATTTTGCTCAGGTTAAGAGTCTTTTTTTTCTTATTTTCTATTTCTTAGATTCTTCCAAACCTTCAGCAGCTAACAGTAACTAAATAGGCATGCATGTGGGGCAGGGGAGCGAGGGTCAAAGTATGTTTAATTTCAACTTTGGAGTTTTCATCAATAGTGTTGTAGATCATTGTTGTAATGTCATCACTTACACAGACAGACATGCACCAAGTGTCTGGCAGAACTGTTCCAGACTTCTAAGCCATCTGTGATATCCAAACAAAGTTGACCTTAGTGCACTTATTAAATAATTTTGGGGGCTTCTCTAATATGCATGTGGTTGTATGAAATCTCAAGGGACCCGCCCACGTGTCGCACGCAATTGCCATATGGCAGGAATGTTGTTGATTACTGGATTGTATAAGTGAGAGAGTCTCTCCACAGCAGGAAATGATGCTGTCAGGGATCTTATTCTGGTTCCTGAGATAGCTAAATTAAGGTTTGGATGAGAGGCATTTAAGATGCAGTTAACTGCTTTTGATGTTGGTGATAGTGATCCTTTAAGATGCCACCCTTCTGTCCTTTTGAAGGCATTGTCAGTTAGTTGGCATAGAAAATTACTTCTGGTTTTAAAAATGACACTGAATTTTTCTATAGCATTGAAATGTTAACCTTGGTACTTCAGCTTCATACCAACTTGTGAAATTACTTTGATTTTAATTAAGATAAATTCCTGTTTATCACCTCTGTAGCACTTTGTGGAAAGTAAGTGCCGATACATTCTATTTCTTGTCCTGGAGGAATTATACTTTGCATTTCTTTTGTACTTTCAGTTCGATACCGTAATCTTAATTTCTTATCAAACAGTTCAGTATCTGGTGCTGCTGGGGAGATAGGAGGGGAATTGAAGCTCTTGAACTTCTAAATATCCATGAATAATAGAATCATGCAAGCTGAAATTAACCTTAGGAGATCCGGCCCCCTGCTTTAAGCAGGGGCAACACTGAATTCAGACTATGTTGTTTAGAGCTTTGTCCAGTCAAACTTTGACAACCCCCAAGGACAGGTTCTGCAATTTCTCAGGGCCTCTTTCCTAGTTCAATTTGTTTGTTTGTTTATCTCTAATTGGAACCTCCCTTGTGTCAGTCTGTGATCACTGTATGTTGTTCTTCTGCCATTTATCTCCAGTAGAAAGCCTGGCTCCATCTTCTCTGTTATCTCCTTGCGGGTATTGGAAGGCTGCTATCAGGTCCCCCCTAAATCTTCTGTTCTCGAGGCTGAACAAGCCCTGTGTTCTCAGCCTGTCCTTTGAGTAAATATTCAACACCTGACCATCTTGGTGACCCTTCTCTAAACACGCTCAGTATTCTGAAATCTTTCTTGAACCATGGGGCACAAAACTGAGCGCAGAATCCAGATGCAGACTAACAAGAGCTGAATGAAGATAAATAATCACTCGCTGCAGTCAGCAGGAGCATAGGCAGTGGTTGCAGTGCGGTATGCTCTTTTGCTGCGATAGGTGCCACACTCAGCTGTAGCTTACTGGTCACCAGGACCCACGCATCTTTTCTTAGGAGAGCTGCTACCCAGCTAGTCAGTCTCCAGCCTGTACCGTTGCAGGGGTTTACTCCTCTGTGTGGGACTTTCTTTGCTGATTGTTAGGAGGTTCTTGTTTGCCCACTCTTGCCTTTCTAGGTCCCCTCTAAATGGCCATCCTGTCCTGAAGCATATTGATACTAAGCCCCAATTTGTTGTTGTCCACAAATTTAATGCTGGTACATCTCTCTTCCAGCTTTAATGCTGCCTATTGTTTGCAATTCCAAGAAAAACAAAGGGACTCAGGATCTCAAGGCTCTAATGGTTTGGGTTTACCTACTCTTAAGGATTACTACCGATTGCAAGCAAGTCTGAATTTCACTGAAGTTGTTTCTGAATATCTCTATATGTTGGACACGTTCCAAATCACAGATCCTTTATTCTTACAACCTTACACATTTTTTTCTGTTCTGGAATAATTTAGTGCATAGAAATTCAAATTAATTTTTTTCATTTGGTGACAGAGTGAGGAAATAATCCTTATTTCCTCTTTGGAAATTTGTAACTGGTTAAGAAGCCTGGTGCAGTGAAGAAATGTCACCTGTTTTAAATAGAATTAGGTTGTTTAAATAAACAAAATGGATTTCCTTACCTACCTGTTTGTTTTGTTTTGTTTTACAGTGGATTCCAGTCTTACAAGACTTCAGAAATAAAGATACACTCTGGGGCTTTGTACCAAATCAAAATGACAAAACTTCAATGGAAATTTCATTTCCAATTACGCTTCATATTGGAGATTACAATATGGATGGCTACCCAGATGCTCTTGCTATACTACAGAACACATCTGGAAGGTAGAGTATATGTTAACCTGGAAATAAAGACTATCAAATGCATTTTCAGTTGTCAGTCATACAACTTACTAATTTTAGTGCATCTCATTCATTTTATCAAGTGAACAAGAGTTTTGATCTCTGCTAAATGTTTCCCTTTTAAAAAAGGTATGCATTTACATGGTATATTCAGAATGCATAATTGTATAGGCTCAAACTGTGATTCTTGGTGGGGAATTGCACCAGGGAGTGGAGTATGAAAAGTACCATTTTAGGCGCTCCTCCTGGATCACAGGAGCTGATTATCTCTCCCTTTCCTTTCCCAAATCATGGGAAATTCTTTAAAATCCTGACTTCAGCTTTCAGTGTTGGCTAGTAACACCAGGCTGGTATGAGTTGGGGAGCCTGTTCAGTGCTGTCACATGGAGTGAACACTGATTGGTGACTGCTGAAAAATGCAATAGTGTTTTGCCCCTTTTGAGAACCAGGAATTTTAGATACACCTCATAACTTACCAGTGATTTTATATTGTCCAAATTTAACTGAAATAAACAAACTCCGCCCCCACGCCCCCAAAAAAAGAAGCTTCAAACGTTTCCTATTACATTTGTCAGTGTAATCTTTTTCCTCCTTTTGTTTTTTCTTCATTACTTGCTTTCCCAATACATTGTATTGCTACCATCTGGTGTTAGGTGGGAGAGGGCATGTAGTGATGCTTGCAGGGAGATTGTTGTACATTGAGTTAGTGATCCATATAACAGTTGACCTGAGGAAGTGCACACCTGTGCTGTTCTGCACATACCACTTGGCTGCAGGAGAAACTTAGCCAGCTAATCGTAACGGAGAAGCCTGTAGGCAGCTCTCACTTGGCACTTGGTGATGATACCACTAGCATGTCCTTGTCTTTACCTTGAAGTGAAGCAGCTCGTTTTCAAGTGAATGTCCTTTTGCTTGACAGTAGCAATGATGAATAGACCTGTTTATTTCTAAGAAAAACTTGAAAGAGCTCTGGAGACCATAATGACAGCGAACCTCACTACAGATAGGATAGGCGCAGCACGCCGTGCCCCAACTAGAGGTCTGTCTGATGCTGCACAACTTGGGTTTTCCAGCATCTGAAGAGATGTAGGATTGTCTATGCTATCCCCTTGTTCTTGCTCATGTCATCACTTGTAAAAGGTATTTTAATCAGTACCTTATGGAGTCTCAACATCTTCTTTACTGGGATCTGTGACAAATACTTGCACTAGTGTATTTATTACAAAGCAAAATAAATCTTTCTTACAGGTGTATTTATTATTTTCGTCCGTATGGTGTTTTGACTGAGCTTGGGTGCAGGTTCATAATTTGAATTAACGCACAGTAAGGAAAAGAACTGAGGAGCTCACTTTGGTGCTTGGAACAGTATGTAGACTGAATTTAGATGCTGCAAAGTAGTCAATTCAGATCTTTTAGTGGTTGTCTAAACATGAGTCACCTGCTGACATTTTTGTGTTAGAGTTCTTCAGATACTGACACATACCTAAAAATGACCCAGTTACATGCTTGTATTCAGCCTACATGATGTGATTCAGAGACAAGGCAGTGAGCAGCTGAGCTCTGTCTCTATACCACTGAGCCTTAAAATAACTAGCACAGCAGCTGTTTATATTCAGATAGGGCAGAGGAGAAGGAGGTGATGCTGTTACTGCCCAGAACTTGCATAGGCAAAGTTAAAGCACTCAGGCCTTTAGGTTTTTTACTTCATAGCCTTGCTCAGCTGGGAGTTTGCATCTTCTGTTCAGCAGTCATTGAATAAAGACTATAAAGAGTCTAGAGAGCAGACTAGTACCAAGGCTTCCCTTTTCTGTAGAAATACAGTGTCACAAATTCTGCGACATCTAAACTGTAAAGTTGTTTACTTAAGCCCCGCAAATCTTGTGTTTTGAGCCGTACTATAGGCTATGTCCTAGTGTGTATCCTGATAGCTAGTACACTTCAGAAGGACTTTGTGAAGATTTACGGAGTTCAGAAGTTTTTTAATCTTTTAAGATTCTTAGGAGTGCTGCTCCTCTGGCTGGTGTGTAATTATGGCAATGTAATATTATGTGAAACATTTAAATAGCTTGTAAATAGTTACTCCTATAAAAGCTCAGGAAGTTACCTATGTCTTGTTGCAATGTGATACACTTTAATCTTTATTCTTGCTTCTGAAATTGTTTCAGCTGGTTGCATCTTAAAGTTCTTTTGAAACTTGACTTCAAAGTTGAGTGACACACTAAAGCGTAAGGACTGAAAGTACTGGAGGATGATTTGACAAGTTATGAAAAAGGAAGCTCAGAGAGCTGAGGAAGTCTGGCAAAAAAAAAAAGAGTAAATAAACTAAAAATTAAGAAATCCGTTGCATGTTAACACTGTGTATTTCCAGTATCTGTAGAAAAGTAATGGAAACAGGCTCTTTGTACTTTGGGAATGGAAGTCACATTTTTTGCACCCACTGTTAAATGTCACTGTCAGAGTAATATTAATTAATTGTTTCTGAGAGACTTAAGCAAGTATGTCCTTTTAAAATGTAGTCACAGAGTGGAGAGAGTTAAAACAGTGTGGGAATTAAATTAGAGCAAATTAAAATTAAAACTTTATTTAATTGATTTTAAACACTTCTGGATCAAGCTGTGTATTTCTTTCTCTGAAGCCTTTCATACTACATTTACAGATCTAATTTTAGTGATTAATTACTGTGATTAAATGATAAAAGCATTTTTGTAAACTCTTGACCTCAATCTGTGCTATAGTCTAGGAAGCTTAGCTGCTAGTTGCTGTCTGTAACTTAAAGAAATTAAGAGGCAGAAGCCATTTTATTCATCTGAAAATACACTGATACGTGATAATGAAAGAATATGATTAAAATCAATTATATGTTTTTATCACGAATCAAGAAAGCACTTTCAGATCAAATCCTTAAAGATACCTACAAAACACTGAAATAGGTGTGATAGGTAGGAATAACGTTGGTTTACTGTCCTTCCAGGAAAGTCAGGAAAATGATTAATAGCTTCAGGTATTCTCAGAACTGCCATGAGACTACACTGTTTCATTTCCTGCCACATCCTTTTGATTTCAAACAACAACGTGTAATATTCTGACAGCATGGAGGCATTCCTTAACAGCAACAACAAAAAAAAGGAATCCCACTTGTGGTTGAAAGTGTGGTGGGGGGTTGAACCTAGACACTGAATAAATTCCAACAGGTGAAGATGCTAAATTCACATTTGATTCTTATATATTTATCTGTCCATTGTGAATTCTTTTAGTTTTTTGACTTGAGTCAAAACCTACACATTAGAATTCCAGTCCAGATTTTTCTTCAGGCTACATACATACGTGAATTTTTCTTCCCTCTAGTTATGAATGTATTAAAAATTGTGTATGTATGTAGACTAGTAATAGGTAAAGGGATTTTATTAGTAGTTGTTAATCAATTCATCTCTACTTCCTATCTAAATGTATTAATTTTCTCACATGCTGGTTTTAAATTGACTCTAACATTGAAAATGTAAGTACTGCATGTGAGCCTATAAACACCTATTTTTCTCCCACCTAATTAGATAAAACAAATTTTGTTTAACCACTTGTTTCCAAATTAAATGCTAATAATTGCCATCTTGCATAGCAAACATGTAATCTAAGAAAGCATTTTTGCAGTTATGCTTTTATTCAAAGGGAATGGTTTTTCACTGGTAAAATAATGGTAACGTTGGCAATGTCAGAGAGAGATACTGTACTATCTCCAAGTTTCAATCTTTACTGTTATTTATCACCAAACTGGATATGGACAGTTGAATGAAGAACTTTGCGTATAATACACTTCTAGAAAGTTTTCAAGGTGATGATGCTTTCCAGGTATTCATGCTCAGTTTTAAAATAGTGTATATGTATTTTTCCTTTATATCGGTATACTTGAAAGGACTCTTATTTGACCAAATTATCTTTTCCTAAATCATTGTTAGTTGTTGCTTGTCAGAAGTAAGGTACAACAGAGGACTTCTTTTAAATGTAGGACTGAAAAACACCTTGGAATTGAGCAAATTAAAAAAAAGAAAAAGAGGCAAATTGAATTATTCTGTGTGTCTGGAGGAAGATATTAGTCATTTAGATGTCCCCTGTATAACTGTAAATGAACTAGCCTAAAACTGACAAAATGAGAGATGTATGAAATTAAGAAGTAAATATTTAATTCTAATTGCAAAGAAATATGTTAAAACAAAACGGAGATAAGTCTTCAGTCTTTCTTTGGTGTTAAACCTTGCTTATAGTTATTCAGCCTTATTAAATTTAGCTTTGCTGCATAGATGACTTCTGTCAGAAGCTTCCAAATTGTAGACAACTCTATACGTTATTGGGCATCATTCATAAGCTGTTTGGGATAGTTATGCAGGTAGCACACAATTTAGCTGCCTCTATGTATACATCAGTGTGTGTACCTAAGTATTAGAAGTGCTGCAAATAGCATGTTAAGGGTGAAATGCTAGTCTTAGTTTGGAGTTCTTTTGCTTTGCCTTTTCTCAGTATTTAAAGTGAATTGTTTGATATTGACTGTTATGCATTTGTGTAGCACTTTAGCACTGATTTTTAAGGTTTTACTATTGTAGCAGTGTCTGTCTTCATAGTTTTTCCTTAGGCTTTCAGGGACGTTGCTTCATCGTTTTATGGATGCGGATGATTTTCATTGTTACATGGAGATTTTTTTCTGATGGTGTTAGTCTTCAAAATTTGCTTCAAAATAATAGAAAGGTCATAAACTTGCTCTTGGTAATTATAGTATGTAGCAGAAGTAAAACATGGAGGTAGATACTTTGATTATAGTGATGCATGTATATTAAAGCTCCAAATAACATAAGGACTCAACTGGAGCTCATAGGCCAAATCCAGATGTCAGGAGTTCTTCCAAGAAAGAACTGAACAGCTGAGGAGGCAGCAAACAGCCGACTTCTCCCTCTGCAAACAGTAAGGCACTGCAAATGTCCAGCCTTCCACAAGAATGTCCCTCACACTAAGATTTCCTCCTTCCACGCTGAGATGTAGCACATGGGAACTCCTTTATCAGCACAGAACTGGGAGTGGATCCTAAGAAGGATCAAGACAGACATAACGTGGCTAACAATTACTAAGAATATATGTGTGTGTGTATACACACATATGCACACGTACATAGTTTCTGGTATCCATTAGTGTTCATTATTATGTAATCAAAACCTAAAATAATTTATTAATGTTTTATTTCAGTGTTTATTTTTACCTTGAATTGAGTCAGGTGGGAAAAATTAGGTTTGTGCACAAAGACAACTAGTTATAATATGTGCAGCCTTCAGTGGAACTCGGAACGTAGCTCACCTTGAAAACTAGATGGAAGTTTAAAGCACTAAGGCTATTTATGTACTCTGATATGAGGAAAGCTGCAAGTACATTGCTGCTTTTTTGTGGGGGGGGGGCGGCGAGGGGCGGGGAAGGTGGCAGGCAAACCTGAAGACTGTCCATCACCACCAAATGAGCGCTTTTTGGTTTTTCCTCTATTCAGAAGTTGCTGCGTCAGTGCATTCATTTTAGAGGTAGTTATTTTCAAACTGTTTCCATGTGTTGTAGATAATTACTACATATTAATGATAAAATCCTTCCTTAGTATATTATCAAGAGATAATGGGCTGAAAAAACATGGGGCAAAGGAAAGTCATGTTCCCTCAATTTCAGTCAAAAAAGGAGGAACTATTTACACATGTCACCCTCCAAAACAGCAGTATGTTCAAGGTCATAATGAAGTGGTTTTGGGTATTGCCCTGGGCTCTGACACACTTAGTGAGCGTTACAGAACATTGTCTGCTCCGTCTCCGGGCTCCGCCCCCAGAAATAGAGGAGGAAACTTCATCTGTTCCCATTGCCAAGGCAGTGATGGATTCTAGCGGGTGCCCAGGATAGAAACCTGCCAAGGAATTGGGCTCCCAATTGGTAAAGCGACAAGTTTTCACAGTTCCAGTGAGAGTGGCAATGTTACAGCATCAGAGACAGCGTATAATGCTATTAGTCATTAGTGTGCGCGTATGAACCTTGTGTCACCCACTGGCCAGTCGGCGTGTATTACATAAATCCTTTAGAAGGCAGGTTTTGCTAAACTAGACCTGGTACTCTGGTTTGTTTGTTTCTTGTTTCAGTATTACAGCCTGTCTTTCTGTCTGTATTTATGTGTCAGCAAATGTCCAATTTGGTTTGTCTTGTCCTATTCGTACTGTGCTGGTAGGTTGGGTTTTGTGTGTTATATTTTGCTTTGAAACAATGGAAAACATACAATAGAGATTTGGTTTAATTTTTAATTCATTTAAAACATGCAACATGTAAGAAAATTTACTAATGGAGCTGGGGTGGGAAGAGATTGTCATAAAATAACGAAAAAGCACTGACTCTTTTTAAGTAGTGTTTAAGCTAAAGGACCATGAAGGGGTTAGGGAAAATGTGCACTTGTACTTATTTCAGAATAAAGTAAGAATATGTTCAGTCTTCTGAGTGGATGGTTAATGAAATTATTCATGCTGATTTGGACCCATTTATTTAGTGTACTCATTGGTTTAAGTCAAACATGACATAATGGTTGTAATTCTGTCTGTAAAGTTAACATAAATGCTTAAGGATTTTAAAGTATCCAGTGTCTGTTAGCTTTGTTTTTGTTATATTTAACTTCAGCAGACTTAAATTATTTAATTACAATATTTTTGTAATGTCTATTATTTAGACTGTTTATAGCAAATAAGTTGGGTTTCATATATACGTATGTATGTTTTACAGCAATCAACAAGCATTTTTACTAGAAAATGTCCCATGCAATAATGTAAGCTGCAAGAGTGTACGTCGCATGTTTAAAGTTTTTTGGGAGCTCTCAGATCTAAATCAAATCAAGGATGCAGTGGTAGCAACCTTCTTTGACATATACGAAGACGTAAGTTCAACTCTTCACTACAGCAAACTGTCTCTTTCTGTGTTGCTGTATCTGTCTGTGTGCTGCTGGCAGACTGCTTTGTAGAGATGTTGGCTTTACAGCGCAGGGCAGGCAGTGCCTTCAGCTGGGAAATTCATTCTCGAGATGCTCCCTGGAAGGTGAGCAGGTAGAAGCAGCCCATCACTGCCTAAAAGTTTGCTGACCCTCCATACGCTCCATTTGAGCTGCCCTCTTCAGTGGCAAGAAAGAAGCCGTGGACCAGTGCATTCTCCTGGGTAGCTGTGAGTGGAGCACTCTGGCATGAATTGCCATAGATTAAAAAGATTTGAAAGATACTAAAATTAGTAGCAAAAGTGTAAACTTTGCTGCACCCACTCTTTTTTTTTTTTTCTTTGTATCTCTAAGGGAATTTGTTTGCTAAATGTAGAAGTTATCTAGAGTAAAGCAGCATTCTAATATAAACTATTTTTTTTCCTCTAGGGAATCTTGGATATCATTGTGCTAAGCAAAGGCTACTCCAAAAAGGACTTTGCTATCCATACATTAAAAAATAACTTTGAAGCAGATGCCTATTTTGTTAAAGTTATTGGTAAGTTATCAGTGTATAATCAAGTCAAAATGGGACCTTGAGAAGAATGTGAATATTTGAGACTCTGTATTTGATAATATTAAGGTAATGCTATGTGTATGATAATTCTAGAAAAGAAAAAACACAGCGTGGAAAATCCTATGGATTGCAGAAATCTCTTGTTGCAGAATGTGAACTTGGATAAGTTGGTTTTGTTTCATTACAAAGGATTTTTTCTTTTTTGTTTTAGTGTACTTACTAAAATTCAAAGTAATTCTGCCCACTATTTTCAGCACTTTAGCTGGTTTTAATATCAGCGTTGACCACAATATCAACGTTGACCACAGTACCTTTAAAGAAGTGTTCATCATCTCTTTTGAGGTTGTTTGGGTTTTTGGGTTTTTTTTTTTACAAGCATGCGTGTCCTATTTCTCTTATTAATTAGAGGCAGGCTAAATCTTTCCTTTCATCCCGGAACTTTCCCTCTGCATCCTAGCAGAATTCTAAAGACAGATACTATGTCTTTAAAAACTCATTTCTCAGCTGGCATCTGAAGGAAAAACAAGAATTATCAAGTGTCCAAAAATATGATCTGCAGGGGAAAAACACATGGAACCAAGTTATTCAGCCTAAAAGAGAAATGTAAGGAAGATCCATGTCTCCGATCCATAATGATGCATAAAAACAGGGGAAGTGTGTTCTGTGTGTCCATGCAGGATACAGCATAAAGCAACAGACTACGAGAGCAACAATAATTGCCTAAAAGACAGCTTGTGAAGTACTAACATAAATTCCTGGAGAAACTGCAGACTTAGCAACATTAGAGGTCCTGACAACTAGATTAAGAAATTAGGTAGTATATTTAATTGGTTTTGAGGGAAAGGGTTGGACTAGCTGAACTTACGAGGTCTCTTCTGTGAATCTTTTGTACGGTACCTTCACTTATCCCCTCACATAACATAATGTCAAAATAAAAATGACATTAGATCTACACATATCTTTCGTTCAACTTAGATTTTTATTTTTTTAATGTGTCATGCTATTTAAAATTTTGAGAAATATTAGCTCATAAATTGCTAATTTGAGGAAAAATATAATTATGCTTGCACATATAAATATGTATGCCATAGTGAGACAGAAAGGAACCAGAAGAAATTACAGCAGTATTGACTTAAAGGACCACACTTTGTTTATCCACAACGACTGCCTTTTTATCTTGCCTATTTTCAGAAACCTGGGCAAGAAACAATAGCCAAGTGTACTTATTTCCATCTATACCTTGAGTGGTTGCAGTATTTTCTTTCCAGCAGGGACTTCTGCCTTTTTTGCTTACCTTTGTCATTTCAAGCCTACTTTACTGGAGTTCTTTTCTGTATCATCTGGAAATGATGCAGAATCTAGTGCGAAATGGGCTGGGTTCATGTCAATGGAGACTGGCACAGTGTATATTTTGCCTACACTCTGTGATCTGTTCCGAGAGCCAGTTTGTTTCCATGTGTGAGTCAGTTCGGTGTTTTTAGCCTAGAAGCTACCACGTGGCACAAAACGCATCTTACCGTAAAAGCATGGAATGGCAATGAACATGCCACGGGTGTGTGAATTAATTAGAGACTTGGTTTAAAAGTCTAGAGTAAATTATGATACTTGTATTTGATAGTAATTATGTTTTCAACTTGTGTGCCCTACTGTGTTCTTCACTGCAAAGGTGTTGAGCTTTGAGCTCATTGCTTGTCTGTCTTCCTTGATATGTTTAAGGATGAGTAAAAAAATGAGGCTGTATGTGGGCTTATGAGGACAAAGGTGAACAGGAACAACTAGAGGTTCACCTTCAAAAAATGTATTTGCCTTAATGTTATTTAAATGCATCTAATCCTTCCAAAGCACACATTCTGCACGCTATAAGATACGGAACTGCAGCTACTACTGGGGCTGATGCATTTACTACTTTCTCCTTAGCCTGAGCTTTATTCTCATCATAATACCTTATAATGATTTGTCATGTTGATGGAAGCCTTCGTTTAAATACTGTATATGGGTAGTGTTATTCACACAAGCATGCAGAAAGTCCTCTAGAAAAATCACACACTTCACAAAGCCATGTTAGAATTACAATTGTGTGATATTTTAATGGGAAAAGAGTAATTTGCAACATGCTTTTTGATTCACTTTGTGTAAATCTGTCTTAAAAATTGGAGTGAGCCTTTTTTTAGCACCCTTTTAGGGTGTATTTTTGCACAGAAGCTCCAGGAAATGGGAATTAATGAGTGGTCTAAAAATATCTTTACTGTGATACAGGGGAGAGTATTTCTAATAAAACATACTCTGTGTGAGTTAGTGTATAAATGCATTATGTTCACTTCTTTGGTATATGGACAATGAGAATAGTTTTGCTCATTATAACTGATGCCAAATGTACTTGTTCAGATTATTTGTTCCAGTAGTGAAACTGAACAGCAAATTGCAGTGTGCTGTTTTGCATCAAAATGGGAAGAGTTGGTTGCACTTGCATACACACCGATGTCTAACGTATAAAATAAGCTTATAGCTTAAAAAGTCTATATGTAGCTACATACAGTCTTCAAATTCTGCTTTGCCACACATTCATCTTACCTGTCCAGATAATTTTTTTTTTGGACTGTATAAAAATGTTAGGTTTTTCTGTATTTGGAAATTTCAGTATTTTTAAATTGCAAGCAAAGAACGATAACTTGGGAATCATGACAGTTGTTAATATTTGCACACAAAATTCTAGAAAAACGTTCCTTCACTAGAACAGTGCCATTTCTGACTCCAGTAGGGAATGATTTCTAATCAGACTATTACCCTATGAACATCTTATGTGCATCTTTTAGTATTGCACTGTCCCCAAACATTTTGATTGCTAAACTCCACGGAGCCTTAAAGTAGACAGAAAATGCTTTTAAAAAAAAAAAAAAACACCACCACTTCTGGTGATTAGGATGACCTGCCTGCAGATCTGGTCCAAATCTTAATTTTTTGCTTTCTGCCACACTTGCTTCAGGATACCATAATTCATGGAGAAGTTATGTTTTTACTTGGCTTCAATACTATATGGTCTGTATCCTCTTCCCTGCTTATAGCTGTTATATGGCTGCTGTTCAACCAAACTGTTGTCATCTGAAGTCTGAATTTTGCATCAGAATGACACCTTAGATTATTTTTTGGTGTATTTTTTGTTGTTTGTTTTAAAGGTATTTTAGTACTGATGTTCTAACACTCAGTGTGGCAGGATGTTCTAGCTTATAGAACTGGTGGCTTTCATTGTCATTTAGTTGATTATAAAAAAGTGTTATGTAATTTAACTGATATTTGAAACTAATAAGTTTTAAACAAGTAATTGAATAACTGCCACAGGCTTTAGATATTAAGTAGCATTATACACATCTGCTTATAATATTTCTGAATTCATAGAATAAACAGGTAAAGGGATTTTGTTTGTTACAGCTTTTGTGAATTGCTTTAAACCCAGTTGTAATACTATCTCTTGTATAGAAGGAAAAGCCTTTACTTACCTTTTTACCAGTTAAAACAGTAAAGCTGAATCTCTGCCAATATTTTTAAATGGTTAGAAATTAAGAATAATGAAGAAAATGTACAGTCTACTGTTTTAAAAATGTTAACTTAGAAATTTTATAATTGTCAGATCTCTCCTTTTGAGGCTGGGTAACCTGTGAGGTATGATAAAACAATGACTACCTGCTTAATTTCTGCAAGGAAGTATACTTAAGCAGATCAGGAATTTTTTTATACATTAACATAAGTCATATAGAAGACACTTATTTTCTTTATGTGTTTTTAGTGGATGCCTGACACTATTACTATACTTTAACAGATTTCAGAGGTAGTGCTTGTAAGATGGTTTGTTAACATAAACACTGCAAGCTCACTTTTTTGTTTTTGCAGTTCTCAGTGGCCTCTGTTCTAATGACTGTCCTCGGAAAATAACAGTAAGTGTAACTATAACTTTGCATTACTATTTAGCTTCAAATAAGCTGAGGTCTAATTATACCAAAAACTCTCCACATGTTAAGACAGTTATTGGCCGGAAGAATGTGTCATCCAAATAATTACTGGCTAAGTTCTGCATATTTGAGACCTATACCTTTCGCCAGCTGCCTGCTCAGAAATGAAATCAGTTGACTGATTCTGCGGTGAGCTTTGTTACCCAGCATCATGGGGGCTGGCATATACCAGATACAAGAGAAAATTGTGTAATACAGCTGTATGTCCAAACTGTGTGTTGTGCCAAGTCCTGTTCTGGGCAGTCAGAAAAGCCAGGCAAAACTGATTATGGGACAGATTCAGCCATATAGCCACTTCTGGACTAAAATATAGTAAGCGAGTATACAAAGGATAGAAGGGAAGGAAATATACTTGGTTCTGATGATTTTTAAGATAGCAACATATACATGTGCTGATTTGTATTTCAATTCTTTTAACCGTGTCCAGAGACCTTGCAACTCACCCAGCAAACTTTCAATTAGCAAAATGTTTATCGATGTTCACAGTGAAAGTTGGCCTAAAAGAGGAACTCAGAGGAATCAAAGCTAGCATTAGCACTAATTAATTAATTAAATATGAAATTTAATTTTTACTTGAAAATATGAAACTTCTTCAAATGGGACCAACTTTTTCTTCAAGCCTATTTTAAGACATAAGGTTTTGTTTCTGATATAAAATAAGAGGGTTTGATGGTATTATTAGCTTAATTACATTACAAAACTAAAGAGAGGGTTTAAAAAGCAAATCTTCACGACAGATGTTGGTGAATATTTCATTATCAAGATCATGGAAGCGCTATTGCTTTCACTTTAATAGAAGTTCTTTGTCAGAAAGTAACGTAAGTATGTTATGCCAGAATACAGCTGCTTGGCACAGAAAAAAAAATAGCAGATTTTCACCTTATTTACAGGTCTTTCATACATCTGCATTAACAGCAACGTTGCGGTCTCTTTACTTTTCATTCTAACCAATTATTATTTTTCAGGCTTTGATCCCATCTCTCATCATTATCACTTATTCTTATGGTTTAGAACTTACTATTTTTTGAGGCATGGTGTGAAATGTGTCATCATCTCTTCTTTTAGTGTTCATTCTGTAATTCATTTTAAAGATCTTTACTGGATTTGATGCCCTAATAGCAGCTTGAATTCAGCATTAAAAAACAAAACAAAAAAATGAAAACTCTGTTTAAAATCTATTCTTACGGTTGTCCGCTCTCCTCTCCATTCCCCACCATAGCAGATAATTGTTCCCTCACCCTTCTTAAGTGCATTTGTTACGGTTCATCACTCAGTAATCCACAACTCCCTTTGATTTATTCCCCCCCCATAACTGTACTTTGATGTTTAAGCACATTTTCTCCCTCAAGAGAATTTGCTTAAAATAGATATTGGTACCTGACAAGTAACTATTCAACCATTTTCATAAATTAAATAAAGCATTGCTAAATGATGGTAACAAAATTTTGAATTTATGTAGTATTTTTCAGTTCTGAAAGACCATCAAGATAGTGCACTCTATCAGACAGTATCAAATGTGTTCTGCTTTTTCAGAACGTGCAGTTATTTCTTTGAATTTGGTGGGGGGGGGGGAGTATTTTAGTTGTAACTTCCAAGGAAACATTAAACCTTTTGCCAGAGGACTGAATAGTATTGCTTTCTTCACGAGAAAGTAAATGTTCCTTAGCCAACTGATTAGCCTTATCTTGAAAATTAATTTCCACATAATGCTATGACCAAAACAGTTGCAAGATTTTGAAATTATCCATATCAAAAGGAAATGATTAATCTAGAAATATTTTTTTTCTTTGGTTTACTGTTTTATTACTATAGCTTTGTCTGTTTGTAAAATTTTGCCTGCTTTTTTCACCCCCCCCCTGCATTGTAGCCTTTCGGTGTTAACCAGCCCGGTCCTTACATCAAGTACACTACTGTAGATGCAAATGGATACCTGAAAAATGGGTCAGGTAAGGTAACCTCATAATGAGAATACACACGGCATCGTCTGTCTGTATATACTTCTGGGCAACCTAAAGAGTTGGAAAGAAGTTAACAGTGAAATGGAACTGGTTTTGAATAGTGTCTTCGGTTTACAAGGCCAAAACCCGCTAACTTTCTCTTCTTTCTTTACAGATTGCATGTTTATTACAAACATTGCAACTGCATTCTTTTTCTTCTGTCCCATGCAAATTGTGTTTGAACAGTTGGCTGTATCTTGCCCAATCTGAAAAATCGTTGGGTACAAATCATGAGTTTATGAAATACCATAAGCTTCTAATGATTTACTTTTTCTTGCCAATTCGTTAGCAATTATGTTTTAAGAAACACCAGTGACTTTGAAATATCTAAATAGAATTTTGTGGCTACGTGAAAAAGGATCAACATAATATTCAGTAAACACAGGATGTATTTTTCTGGAGTGGTTCACTACATCTGATAGGCTATAAAATCATGAGTAGCATGAGGAAGATAGAGAGGGAATGGCTGTATCCTTTCAGGTAAAAAAAAAAAAAAGAACTACAAGGTATCAAGGAATCATTAGGTAACAGGGCCAAAATAAATGGAAAGCAGCAGTGCTTCATGCAACTTGAAGCTTAACTAGAGGTTTAATCGCATGAGATGTTCCAGATGCCACAGTTTACATGTGTCTAAAACCAAAGTAGACAAAAAAAAGAATAATCCATTAGGCCATGGTCAAGCAGTGCCTAATGTTAGAATATCCTGGGGTTTATGTTGTCTTCTTAGGTATGTACTAGTGGGTCCTAGAAGACACGAGTGTACTAAGTGGTCTGTTAGTCTAATTTATGACTTAATCTTATGACCATAATGGACTCAATTCTTGCTTCGGCAAAAAATCAAAAAATCCCAAACTCGCAAGCCATAACGTGGTTAGGGTATGCACGTCTGTAAGTTGTGTCATTCCGACTCCTTCCTACTGGCAGTCATCTGCATCTGTCACTCAAGTCTTATTTGAAATTAAACTCAGATTTTAAAAAAAGATTTGCCGTAGTTCACTGGGAAAACTGTATTCTGTATAACGCTAATTTAAATAATAGCAATAACGAGGGGAAAAATGCTGACATGTTAAGGTCCTAAATCAATGGTAATGCTCCTACCTTGAATACTGTGCTCAGGACTGTTAATTCCACCCTAGAAAAATAAAGAGAAAAAGGTGTCCTGAAATACAAACAAGATAGCTGCAAAAACATATCCTGATATTCTGTAGCACTTCTGTATTCATACATGCTTAAAGACAGGTTTGAAAGCTTGAAAGTATTAGCCTACATTTTAATCAAACTAATAATTAATGCTAACATGAAAACGTAGAGTATTTTTTCTAATTGTTCCACAAATTCATTTTAACAAACTAATCGTCCTGCCAGTTGTACACTTGACTTCATCGCTCTGAAGGTTTTCTTCATAAGCTAAATTTAAAAAGAGCTTACATATTTAGTGAGAAACACTTAAAACCCCATGATGCGTTTAGAGATTTCTAGTTACGCTGCACTCTGTTACTGTCCGACACCTGCCCTTAGGCAGCCAGTTCTGGTTGAGTAACAACTGGCATGTCTCATTATTGCCAATTACCAAGATGAAGGCTTGCAAGCTTTGTCAGAGCCAAGTCGCAGTACAGCCTATTTTGTTAACTGTATCAGAAAATACTGGTAAAGGCCTCTACAGGATCTTTCTCCTTGTCCCTCAAAAGGCTGGATTCCTGTGGATGGGAAACTTCCTTATTTGTGGCCCCTAATAACTTTTGAATCCACTAGCTTACTTAAGGCAATTTTGACTGGAGTATACATGCCTCAAATAAAACTACCAGTTCTGTAAAAATCGGCAGTTCGGTAGAAGTTCTTCAGAAGAAGAACAAAATTCCACATGAGGAAAAGACTTAGTTGGAAATCAACAGTTATTTGGTCTGGTTTTGTCCTCAGGCTGGCCATATGGTCAGCATGTGTGCAGTTGCTATTAGCCATAGCCTGAAATGTTCTTGCCTAAGCAGTAACGAAGAAGCAAAGCAGAAGAAAGCTTAGTGTACTGTAGAGAGTTTATGGGGAAATAGAAGATAAGGCTAAAAGAAGTTGCAGGTTCCATACAGGAAGTAGGGCTGCTTGCAAAGACGTGCAGGATTCATATTCATACAAATATAAACATCCTTAGTTTGACAGCTTCTGTCCCGTTTTTGAAGGCATTTTGCCTCAGGCCAGGTTTCTAGAGCTTCCCAGAGTGTTATGCATATTACTTTAATCCCCATTGCAGTGCCTTTTCTGGTCTTCTTGATGACCAGCTATCTTGGGTTTTGTCCTCATTTTGCTTCCGTGTTGCATATTGGCTTTAGAATAGAGTTTGTATCAGGTATCAGGATACTGGTAAGACATACATTGTGAAGTACAAGGAATTTTGTTCTACCGACTCCTTTTTTGAAAGACATCTCAGTCCTTGTTTTTCAAAACAACAAAAGTATAAACAGTTTTGAATGCACTTCATATCTTAATAAAGAGCAAAAACCCTTTTACTTTCACAACTTTGTGTAATAAAGATTGGAGTTCACTAATCTCTCCTTATGCTAATGTTAACTAAACTACTTGCAGTTGATCACTGCCCCTCTGTACTCTTTGGGGCTATCTTCTTGGCATATGGAGCTATTGCTAAAGCTGCTGTCAGAGTTACTGGAAATTACTACAATTTTTATATTATAAAATTTCTTTCCAGCCTGCTGCTAAAAGTTAGTGGAATGCAGTCATTGGGTGAACTTGCATCTAAATGATGTCATCGGTGAGTTTAAAATAGTGTAATGTATTTATTACTACAGGCTACTGGGACTTAATGCAGGCCTGTCTAAATTTGGTGCACCCGTGTGAATATAAACCAACCTAATGAAAACACAGCTTCATAGTTCCTTTGGCCATGTGACTTGTGAACAGATACCTACACACAATCTTACTAGAGATTCAGGAGTACTGATGCATAACTCTGCCTAAGTAACAAAAAAGCTGTTTTTTGCCTAAGAGAAGAAACACATTAGTAAAACCATCAAACTCGCCCTTTTCTTCTTCTTTAGAAAAGGACTATAAAATGGCTATAAATCAAAAAATCAACATAACCTTTGCTTAGATCTAATTATACTCATTTTGATTCATTATTCATGTAGTGAATAGAGAAGTTTTTAACTCTTGCTACTTATTTCTAATTAACACAATCTCAGACTTTGAAATCTGATGTTTAAGTGAACTCATACAACAGACAAAAAAAGTCAGGTCTAACAGCTAGTAGAATCTATTATTAGATTAGAATTATTAAATTCTTTAAAATATATTTGCAATATTGTAAATAGTAACTAGAGAACTGAAACTTGGCATATCTGAATAATAAATGCTGCTTTTTAAAATAAATTTTGTAAATTGACATTAATTTTATTTAGAAAATCGGATTTGTGGGATCTCAAGTGCAGAATATCTATTAAAAGGTTAATTCACAGCAGTATAAACTGATTCTAAACCCCATTTTGAGGAAATACAAGTTTAGATGGGTTTGGTTTGTGTGTGTTTGACCCTTTGGCATTTACTACTTAAGCAAGCTTATAAAATAACTCAGTGGCAAAATAACGATGTTCTTCCAACTGCAGACCTCTGTGTCATGGAAGAATGTATATTGCTTACAAATTCCTTATATCTGTGGAGAATAAAGCTAGGTCCAAATTTGAAGCTCTTTCATGTATCATTTTCTTAATTTTCTTTTCTAGTTCTGTCTTCCAAGAACAAAGACAAATAGATGTATCTTAAATGTTATCTTTAGGGTTTAGTTGGTTTTGGTTTTGTATTTTTTTTCTAGGGAATGACAGTGCTTTTAGAAATGCAATGTTTTTACCATTTACTTTAAGAAATAGCTATCAAATGTGATTTAATACTGCTATAGTACCATTCATCTTCACTGCTACCATATTTACAATAATAAAAACCTAAGAGAGTCCAATCATGATGAATTTCCTTTTCTATTTTGGCATTCTGAAATAACAGTAATGGATTCCAGGTTCATTTATGACCCTAGCAGTATTGCTACAGGGAATTTTCTAATACTGTCTTTGATCAGTTTCTCACCTGTAGTATGTTAATAGATTTTTGTTTTTTGAGTCTGTGTAATTCCTGCAAGAACTTTTCAAAGTCACATTTTCTAAAGCTATTATATTAAGTTTGTAGCTAAACTTTCTTCTTTTACAAGTCCTACTCATAAAATTCAGTAAATGTTCTAACTAGAATTACTAGCCTACAGGTTATTAGCTTGAAAAACAGTCTGTTACATCACAATTGTATTCTATTTGACTGTCAAGAAAAACTTCAAGCAACACTTACACATGTGTACTGGTGGGCAATACCAAACCCACATGGCATTTTTGGGCCATGCATAGGCCTACAAAACATCTTTCCCACATTAAGCTTTTAAGAGTATGGCATCAATATACTATTTGAAAACTAATTTTCATCAACTTATTTGTGTTATATAATATCATGGAATAATCTATACCTGAAGTTTTTCATTACATGAAAGCAATAATGACATAATCTGATAATTTGTAATCATATTTTTAAAATAATCCATCTCTTTCCCAAGAAGTAACATGAGTAACACCATAGTTCTTTTTCTAATGAAAATGATGCTCACCATTCCATTTGTTTTTCCCCAAGTCATCTGATGCTGTTTGTATCTTTACCACCAGCCTTAACAGGGGATTGACTGGACCACTGAAACCAAATTATCCAGTCATTTTAAGTTATCCTTCTGGCCCCAGTACTCAAGGAAATGTCCACCATTCTGCTTCTGATCTTCCTAATTCTGCAGGTCTTTAGTTCTGCATTATGGTATCTTTCACATATGCAATATTCATGCAAAGGGTAAAATGAAAAGCCACATATGGCTGTCTTTATCTAATTCATTTTAAGGTTCTTTGATCTGCCAAGCCTTAACTACA